AATGCTTAGCGGTATTTTGGGGAATACAACATTTTCAGAAATATTTAGTAGGAAGGAAATTTATAGTGATAACAGATCACGCATCATTAAAATGATTAACAGATGGAAAGGAACAAACGGGAAGGAGAGCAAGATGGGTAATGAAATTACAACAATTTGATTTTAAAATAGTACATAGAAGTGGAAAGAAAATTAAAAATGCAGATGGATTATCAAGACTGAGATTTAAAGAAAAAGAAACAGAAAGGAACGAGAATCAAGAAATAACAAAAATAGAAAGTAATAAGGGGAAATTGAGATATATCAAATTTAGGAATAAATGGTATAATGCCAAAAGATTTAAAGGGAGATGGGATGATGAAAAATATTTTACCGATAAAGAAGCAATACTTTTGAATTTGGAGGAAAAGACAGAAAAAGAATTATTAAAGAAGTTGGGAAGAGAAAATAAGCCACGAGTTATTATTATTGAAGGAGTAGACGGCACAGGAAAAACTACAGTAGTGGCAAATATAATTAAACAATTAAGAGATGAAAATAAATTAAAAGTGAAATTTAATACGTTTAAAAGAAGAAGAAAAGACGATGAAAGGTTTAAAGAACCGTCAAAAGAATATGAATGGTTATTTAGGAAACAAGTTGTTGAAGAAATTAATAGAAGAATGATCGAATTTGACGATGAGGATATAATAATATTGGATAAATCACCATATTGCGAATATTTTTATCAGAAAACTAGGAGTTTTGACAGAGGGTATATTAGTCCAGTTGGAAATTATAAGATGGAAAAAGAAATATTTAAATATAAGGATATTATAGATAATGCAATAGTAATTTTCTTGGAGAACAAGAAATGTTGGGAAAATTATATTGGAAGAGAAATTAAGAAGAATAATGAGGGATATAAAGCATCTTATGATACATTGAATAAAGAAGAGTATATGGATATGGTTAAAATGTTTGAAGAACATCAAGGAATCTATGAGAATAAAGAAAAATATAAGAATATAGAGATCAAAAATGATAACGAAAGTTGGGAGGAAGTATTAAACAGGTCAAAACGTTATTAAAAATTTAGAGATATGAATAAAATTTCAGGATAATAATAAGTACCATTTTACGACACCTAATTTTTATAACACTTAAACCCTTATAAAACTTAAACCCTTACAACACTTGAACCCTTACAACACTTAAACCCTTACAACACTTAAATTCTTACAACACTTTAGTCTTGTATATTACAACATAAACATGGAAGAAGAAGAGTACAATAGAATAGTGAAAAATATCAATGAGGAACAAAGATATGAAATTATAGGAGGATCAATTTATAAAATAAAGGATGGAAAAAGACTGAAAATAATAAGAAGACATGAATTTGAAGGATTAATGTACATAGCTCATGATCATGAATTGGCAGGACATTTTGGAATTGATGCAACATACAATAGAATCAAAGACAGATATTATTGGAAAGGAATGAGAAAAGATGTAGAAGCTTATGTCAAATCATGTAATAGTTGTCAGAGAAGAGGAAAACCAATGGGAAAACATGAACTGAATGTAATTAAAGTCATAAAACCATTTTATCAAATCGGAATTGATGTAGTAGGACCACTATCAGTAATGAAAAGGAATAATAGATATATAGTCACAGCAATGGATTATTTCACAAAATGGCCTGAAGCAAGGGCATTAAAAATAGCAGATGCTAAAGAAATCGCAAGATTTATTTACAAAGATATAATATGTAGACATGGATGTCCGAAGAGGATATTAAGCGATAGGGGGAGTCACTTTAATAACAAATTGGTGAAATCATTGATGGAGGAATTTCAGATAAAACACAATTTTTCAACACCTTATCATCCGAAAACTAATGGATTAATTGAAAGATTTAATAAGACACTATGTGAATCGTTAGCTAAATTAAATAATATTGAAGATTGGGATTTGAAAGTACCAGGAGTATTATTCGCATATCGAATGAAAAGAAATGATTCAACAAAAATAGAACCAGGATATTTAATATATGGTAGACAAATGAAGACATTATTAGATTTAGAAGATAAGGAAATTACCATGGCAGAGAGAGTTAATGGGTTGATCGAAGGATTACCAAACATTAGGAATCAAGCTAAAGAAAATGTCAGGAAATCTCAGGAAAAACAAAAATCGTACCATGATAAAAAGAATAGAATAAAGCAGAAATTACAAATCGGAGATAAAGTACTATATTATGATGCAGCAAAAGAGAAACAATGGTCTGGAAAGTTAGAAGAAAAATGGAAAGGACCTTATTATGTACATGAGATAATTTCTAAAGGATCATACAGAATTAAAACTATGGAAGGGAAGATATTGAA